TTTCCCTCTGGGGACGACCTGGACTCAAGCCAGTTACAGATGGAGCCCGATGAGGTGGACACTCTGAGGGAGGGAGAGGATCCAGGTACATGGGGCGAATGGCCCTCCGGGAGGGGAGGGTGAGGGGGCTGCTGCCTTCTGGGGTCTGCAGTCTCGGACTTTCCTCCCAGCTGATCGGATGCACCCCTTCCTGGCCATCTATGACCTTCAGCCTCTGAAAGTGCACCCCTTGGTGTTTGCGCCTGGGGTCCCTGTCACAGCTCAGGTGGTGGGCACTGAGCGGTACACCAGCGGATCCAAGGTAGCTGGGCTGGCACGAGGCAGGGGAGGAAAGGCCAAGGCGCTAGGTGAGGGGTGCTGGGACCCGACTGGAGAACGACAGGATTCAGTTCCTCACACCCTCTAGGTGGGAACCTGCACTCTGTATTCCGTCCGACTGACTCATGGGGACTTTACCTGGACGACCAAGAAGAAGTTCCGTCATTTCCAGGAGCTGCATCGGGACCTCCTTAGACACAAAGTCTTGATGAGTCTTCTCCCTCTGGCTCGGTGAGGGGGACCTGACTGCTTCCTGCAAGGAGCAAATGCCCCTCACCCTGCAGCAGCCATCACTCCCAGGGCCACCTCCCTTTCCTCCCCTACACACTTTCCTCCAGCTCTGGGCACTGGGCCCCTTCCCCTGACCCCGGTTACCAGGAAACCATCCTTGCTTAGTTCTCTCTGTCAGTGGGTTTTGTGCCAGTATCTCAGCCAGGCTGGATGCCCAAAATGCCTTGGCAGCCTCTGCTGCTTCTCTAGTCTCCATTCCCAGGGCAGGGGACCTTTCTTTGCCAACCTCCAAGATCTCCCTCTTCCTCCAAGACCCCATCTCCAGTGTCTCAGGAACTCAGGCACTCAGCCTCCCAGCTCTTAACCCGACCGTCCCTATCCCTTCCACAGCTTTGCTGTTGCCTATTCTCCAGCCCGAGAGGGAGAGGCAGGCAACAGAGAGATGCCCTCCCTACCCCGAGGAGGTCCCGAGGGCTCCACGAGGCATGCAGCCAGCAAGCAGGTACTTCCACACACCAGGTCCCCGGGGACGGTGCTCGGTGTGCGAACAGCCTGGTCCCATCTCTCGCTCTCCCATCCCCATTGCAGAAATACCTGGAGAATTACCTCAACCGCCTCCTGACCATGTCTTTCTACCGTAACTACCATGCCATGGTGAGGTCCAGCACTGGACACCTGGGTCTTCTGAGGTGGAGCAGGATAATCCGACCCCTAAAGAGACAGAAGGGCTAAGGTCCCTGGGGTCTGAGAGATTGAAAGGCAGGTCTGTCCTCTGACCTCTTATCTTCCTCTGCAGACAGAGTTCCTGGAAGTCAGCCAGCTGTCGTTTATCCCAGACCTGGGCTCCAAAGGACTGTGAGTGTCTGGCACCCCTCACGCAGCCTGCCTGAGACATCACTCTCCATCTCTCCCTGCCTAAGAATGGGGCAGACAGGGCAGGACAGGCCGGAAGGTCTGGAGTCTCCATCCAGCGTCTCTTCCTGATTGTCCCCACAGGGAAGGGGTGATTCGGAAGCGCTCAGGTGGCCACCGAGTGCCCGGCCTCACCTGCTGTGGTCGAGACCAAGTTTGTTATCGCTGGTCCAAGAGGTGAGAGTTGGGGGCCAGTGGCTGGGCAGTGGGTGGCGTTGAGGACAGAGACGTCGAGAGCAGAGGCACACACGGAGTCCTTCTGCTCTAGGTGGCTGGTGGTGAAGGACTCCTTCTTGCTGTACATGTGCCTCGAGACCGGCGCCATCTCATTTGTCCAGCTGTTCGACCCTGGCTTCGAAGTGCAGGTGGGGAAGAGAAGCACAGAGGCGCGGTATGGGGTGCGGATCGACACTTCCCACAGGTAAGGCTCCCTGGTGTGAGAGCCCATAGTCCTGAGGGGAGCTGAGTATCAGAGGTCACTGCTGGACAGAGGAAGGCTTTTTCCATTCCCCTGGATCCAGTCAATCAACCATAGTATTTTTGTTTGTTTATTTGTTTTTTTAGAGGGGCTCAGCCATAGTTTTAAACCAGGGAACTGGTCCAGCCAGATGCTTGAGATTGATCTTAAGAGTGTGGGCCCACAGAAGGGGAGTTAGTATAAGCCCAGGGGAGAGACTTAACATATCAAAGAAAAGGAATTCTATTCATTTATTAATTCGTTCAAACCCAAGTACATGGTAAAGTATTAGTTGCTGAGGACCCACCTATGAATAAGGCAAATATACATCCTGTCCTTGTGAAGCTGTGATTAAAGACAAAGGGGGAAAATGGGAAAGCCAAAGTGAGGTGTCTGGGCAACACCCTAGGTGTGGAGGGCCAGGATGAATGGTCCATCTCATTGTTCTTGTCCAGGTCCCTGATTCTCAAGTGCAGCAGCTACCGGCAGGCACGGTGGTGGGGCCAAGAGATTACAGAGCTGGCACAGGGCCCAGGCAGAGACTTCCTACAGCTGCACCGGCATGACAGCTACGCCCCACCCCGGCCTGGGACTTTGGCCCGATGGTAAGAGACTGACATCCCTTCTGAGTTTGTCTGTTGGTTTTCTGAGTCCTGGATTCTCTGTTACCTCCTCCAACCCTTCCTGACCTCATGAGTGCCTGCCCTTTGACTTCTCTAATCTCTCTGACTCCAGGTCTCTTTTACCACATTGATCTTCTGATTCTCCTCTGGCCTTTCTGACCTCCAGACTCGGTAATCTTCTACCCTGACCTCTCTGACCTCTTAGGACCCTTTGAACTCTCTTTACCACCTGACCCTCTCTGTTCGCTGATTTCCCCAAATCTCTGATTTATTCCATCTTTTAATAAACATTTTCTATGCACCAGGTCCAGGGCAGGCAATAAAACACAGGCTTCTCTGGTTTAGGGAAGTAGTGACTCAATTATGAAACAATGTGATCCTGAGTATTGATGAGATATACAAGGTAACACGTTCAGAGGGGAAGCATCTGCCCCAGCCGGGAATGTCAGGACAGGCTTCCAGGAGACAGAAACCCTGAGGGTGTCGTAGCAAGATAGAGAAAACAGAAGGGCAGTCCAGGCCGAGAAGCTACAAATGGCCGGGTGTGTTTGGGAAACACCAGGAGTGATTTTAGTTGCAGAGTGACGTGGACTGGTCAGAGGACTCTAAGAGTCAGGAGTACCTATCTTGCAGGGAAGGTACTCCCTATGAACGGTACTGTAAGGAGTCATGGAAGGATAGTTTTTTTAATTGCCAGAGGGCGTGTGCCAGAGAGACAGAGAGGGAAGGAGAGAAAGCGTGGGAGAGAAAGCACCCCCCAAGGGGTGTGGTCACACCATAATCTCTTCTCCATTTCTCCACCCTGCTGGGATTTGGGGCATGCACACACATGTGCCCAGTGTGTTGTTCAAGCACAGTCCGTGTCCCGGATCTGAATAGTGGTCAACCGTGTGGGATTTGGTTCCCTTAATCACTAGGCCATGGGACCAGACCAAGGATTTTTTTTCTTTCTTGGAGGTGGTGTTGAGATTGTTTTTTAACATAAAATAAAAACAGCTAATTCTTACGTAGCATTTAGGATGCGCCAGGAACTATTTTAAATTATCTGCTTATTGGGACCAACAGATGGCATATATCACTGGACTCCCACATGGACAAGTGGGCAGACCCAGAGGCTTGAAACTAACACCAGGCACGTGTGTTTGCGTGCCCAAAATCCCAAGAGGAGAATGGAGGAATAGGGATTGTGGTGTGGCCATCCCCCCCCGGGGGTTGAGTTCTTGCTCTCTGTCTCTCTGGTGAGCTCACGTGCCCGATAGCAAAAATCTCTCTTAAAAAAAAATTATTGGGACCAGCAGATAGTGTAATGGTTACAACACTGGACTCCCATATAGTCAGCCATGGTTCAAGTCCTGAACCTGGCAGCTTAAACTCACCCCAGGCATGTGTATGTGCATGTCCAAAATCCTTTTTTTTGGGGAGAGGTTTTTTTGCTATAGGCCACGTGTGCTCGCCAGACAGACAGAGAGAGACAGAGAGACAGAAAGAGAAATCACCCCCCAGGGGGGATGGCCACGCCGCAGTCCCTTCTCCTCCATTCTCCTCTCAGGATCCTGGGCATGCACGCACACGCGCC